AAACTTTGTAGGCGAGCTTGTCTGATTGGGGCCTTGGTGTGGACAAAGTTTCAGGCCTAAATTCAAAACTTTGGTTTTATCGAACAAGTAGGGTACTATAGGAAAATTATGGTAAATAGTCAATATCTCAGTCAAATCCCAACTTGGGCCCATATCCTTTTAGGCTTTTTTCTAGTCTATGTATCCCCTACTTGTGGGCAAAATTTCAGCTCAAAAGCTTTTTGACACCTCGGGTGGTTACCTCGTTAGAAGTGAACTATCATCTAAGTTAGATACTATTGATACATTAGTTGATTTGCAGGACAGGAGCTTCTGAGAAGTAAATGAGATTGTAAGTGAGCGTTATTTCTTTTGTATGACATTATCTATAAGCAGAAACTTTTGATGCCATCGTCAACAAAATATAAGGTAATTGAAAGTCGATTCTTGATCTGTTAAAAAGTAAAGTACACTGTTTCTTGCAGATGCTTTTAGGCATTGAAAAAATCCCCTTTCCGCAGCTCTTGAATACAGTCAGCATAAGTCATATTTTTGCGGCAAGAGCTGTGTGATTTCATATGTCCACTATTCATATGCATCACTCTGTTTTGCTCTAGATTATTTTGAAAAGTTACACTCTCCCGTTATAAGTTTGCTTTTTTGAGAGAAAAAAAGTGAAAATATAACCGTTCATCCTTAGTATGGATACCAGTCTTACACCGAATGAGCGACAAAATCTTCGTCCCAATGAAGTTACAGATAATAAAGAAGATGTTCAACTTATTTGGCTTGATGGAAAAATGGATGATTCACCTAATTATCTTCATACCAAGACAATGTTAATCGAACTAAATCCAGCTGCTCAATTCTATTCTGATTTTGATCGATGTCTCGATTTGATTAAATCCATCAAAGATGAACAGATCTTTCTCATAGTGTCGAGTGCATTTGCCCAACGTATTCTTTCACAAATCTATAATCATCGAACACTCGTTGCCATATTCATTTTCTCTGTCAATCATCAAAATCATGAGCCACTCTTAAAACAATACAATAAGATCGTCGAAATCTTTACTGATCAAGAGAGTTTAATAAAATCCATTCAAGAAAAGATGGATCTAATAGAAAAACAAACATTAGCATTCAGTCTCTTTGATCAAAAACAAAAATCGTTAAAAGATTTGTCAAAAGAATCTGCATCATTTCTTTGGGGTCAAATGTTGCTTTTTGTTCTCAGACAAATGCCACAAGACGAGCAATCAAAAAAAGAAATGCTGAACATATGTCGTGATTATTATCAGAAGAACAAATATGAATTGGAAAACATCAAAGAATTTCAACAAAGTTATAATCGTGATAAAGCGATTCAATGGTACACTGATGAATGTTTTCTTTACAAATTACTAAACAAAGCACTTCGTACAGAAGATATCGAACTGCTCTATATGTTTCGATTCTATATCATTGATTTATGTGCAGCCATCGAAGATGAAAGCCATCATTTGAAAGATAAAGGTACTTTAACCTTGTATAGAGGAACACAGATTCCGATGGAAGACTTGCAAAAACTGAAAGAAAATGTCGGTAAAACTATTTCAACGAATGGATTTTTATCTACCTCGCGAAACATCAATATGTCGCTTCATTTCGCTCGTCCAGAACATGTGCTAAATGACTTTGAATCTGTTCTATTTGAAATTCAAGCTGATCCAACATTGAAAACAGTCTTTTTTGCTGATCTTGAAAATAAAACTATTATGAAGGGTGAAAATGAAGTCCTTTTCAACCTGAATTCTCTCTTCAAAATTCAGTCTGTTGAGTTTGATTCAACATTAAAACTATGGAAAGTACAACTAACTGCAACCGATGAAGACACAGCAAAGGTTGAAGAATATCTCATCTTGTCTAAGCAAGAAATGGAAGAAAATACACCAATTATTTATTTTGGTCGTCTTCTTATATATCAGTTGGGCCATGTAGATCGCGCCGGAAAATATTTTAATATGTTATTGAAGTCACTTCCATCTGATCATCCAGACATTGCAGCTGTTTATAACAATATTGGAAATGTGCATGATCGCAAAGACGAATGGAATTTAGCATTGAAGAATTATGAGATAGCTTATGAGATTCGTCGAAAGCAGCTCCCACCCAATCATTCTCATATAGCTGGTTCCCTCTACAATATAGGGCGTATTCACAGAAGAAAGGGAAATTATGATGTAGCCCTCGATTATTATCAGCAAGCCTTAAAAATCAGAGAAAAAATATGTTCAAATGCAAATTTTAAGAAAGCAGATGTGATCGAATGCATCGGTAGAGTGTATATCGACAAAGAAGATTTTGACACTGCTCTTATCTATCTATACCGTGCTCTTGAGATGTTCAAACGCGTTCTACCTGATCAGCATGCTAGTATTGCAAGATGTCTCGGTCAAATCGGCTATGTTAATGAGAAGAAGGGTGACTTGAATGTTGCTCTTGATTATTATTATCAAGAATTGACCATGGAAGAGCAATGTTTACCTTTCGATCATCCGAAACTTTCCAGTGATCTATATTGGATTGTTGACACTTATAAGAAGATGGGTGAGCATGAAAAAGCTATAGAGCTTTGTCAAAACAAACTCAATATTCAGCAAAACAGACTGGGTGAAAATCATCCTCGTAGTGCTCGAACATTGATGATCATCGCTAATGTACTTCAAAAAAAAGATCCAAATGAGGCAGTAAAATACTACGAAAAAGCACTATCTATCCTTGAAAATTCTACTCCACCTGATTATCAAACAACTTCGGAATGTCTAACTTGTATGACTTGTTTATATGGTGCATATAATATGAACGAAGATGCATTAAGATGTGAACTGAAAGCACTTGATGTCAATCGGACAATATTATCTTCTGACCACATCGATATTGCAAATAACTTGAGAAATATCGGTATATCTTATCGTGAAATGAATAATCCATCAGAAGCCCTTCGCTACTTCAATGAAAGTCTCTCGATCTACAAAGTTAATTATGGATCAGAGCACGAAAAAGTAAAGAAAGTCGAAGCAGATATTGCGACATTAAACGAAGAACAGCCTTTACCACCCAGTAGTGAGCCAGAACAACAAGTTTTGGAAGAAGAATCTCGTTCTGACTCCAACCAGTCTGCTTCTCATCAAATGCTATCCTCAATCGATAGTACTTCACAAGTACAATCGAATCCGACAAGCACGAACATACCATCAAAAACTACTACAAGTAGAACATGTGCCATTCAATAAGTCTGATTCAGTCTGTTCGTATTATTCAAAAAACGAACGAATTCTCGAATATTGCCACTGACTACGGGTGCACCATTTTTCTCAACGGCACTTAATTAAAAAGACTTACGAGACTTCCCATGAGACTATCGAGGACCATGCCTGATATCGAAGCACTCGATAAAATTTAGATTTTCGATTTGATGTTCTCATTTTAATCAGCATCATTTGAAACCTCTAAATTCAAATTCTTAGTGCATTTTGGTGAGCTGGTGAAAAGTTAGCTCAATTTTACTGTCGAGCGCTCACGAGGCTATTTGAAAAATGGTATCAAAAATCGCTCCTATAACTTTGAGATTTTTTCTATGACATTAAATCAATGAAATTTTTCGTGTAATATACCAAAAGATAGAGCATCGAAAGCTGAACAAAACTACCTACTCACATGTTACATTTCCATGGACCTATCGATAGGGTGTGGGTGTGGCTATGGGTGTGGGTGGGTGTGGGTGTGGAGGGGGGGGTGTGGGGGGGGGGGTGTGGGTGTGGGGTGTGGGGTGTGGGTGTGGGTGTTAGTTCAAGTGTGTATTCTCCACACCCACACCCACACCCACACACACCCATACCCACACCCACACCCACACACACCCACACCTACACCCACACCCACACCCACACCCACACCCACACCCACACACACCCATACCCACACCCACACTCTTTCTAAACTATGCTTCATCGTTCTATATATTTCTTCTTTCATCAGTACGTTTTCGTCAAACAATTAAAATGTATTTACTATGTAAATGCCTTGATAGACATCATCAGATAGGCACCACGAACATACTTCCTACTGTACCAGCACATGCTGCACAACAAACTGCAAAAGTTATTAATCCCTTAGCTGTTCAAAATAAACCATTTTGATATTCTAATTTGAATTTCACTCTAAATGTTGTGGTGTGCTGGTTTTTGCTTGTTGTCTAAATCTTTTTCGAATATGAATAAAATGATACAAAATTTCGTATTCGAAGCACTGTTGCAGATCAAATATATACCTTCTGTGTAAAAACTTTCATTGTAACCTACGTGAAATTTAATACTTTTATGAAAAAGTATTAATGAATGATTTTCTTCGCTCACATATCTCATCTATTCTCGCATGACGTCGAAAATGAAAGAGCTTATTTCTCTTAAAAACTTCTTACGAATAATCTTTAATGAACTCACTATTATTTAAACGCTTGTGGAGAATCGCCACAAAAGTGGTTGTCTATTTTGATCAATATGCAGTACCATGATAAAGAACCTTTGAAAACCGTGCTAGAAATCTCATGTTGCCAAGCTATCAGAATTAAAAGATGTCGTTGTATGACGCTCGCCGTTCTGCTTTCTTGAGTATTGGTTTCTCTCTGCCTTTTCATGTACACCTTTCTTTTGATCACTCATGATGTGTGTGTATTTAAGTATACGTTCCTGAACTCATTTTATCGTAATACATCATCATTTACTATTGAGATATTCGTGACTATGTAGATTATGGCCGAAAAGCAAAAAATAATGGCAAATAATGAAGATTTTATGATTGTTTGGCTTGATGAAAATCAAGATAAGACAGCTGAGTATTTTGCTACTAGACAATCTTTGAATTATGTAATTCAATATGTACGAACGTTTAATGATACAGATAAGTGTATTGATTTTATTACATCTCAACAGATGATTAATATTTTTTTTTCTTGTATCGGAAACATTTGGTAAAATAGTTATTCCATACGTTCATGATTTGTGTCGAATAGTATCGATTTATATACTTAGTAGCTTTGAAGATGATTCATTCCAGAATTATTCTAAAGTTGCAGGTGTTTTTATCGATAGAAAACGTCTTGTATCGAAGTTAGTAGTTGATATCGCTAAACATACTCATAATACAATTTCAATATCTTTGTTGGAGAAAGATCTAATTAAATCCATTCGTGATTTAATTAAAGAACATGCATCATTAATATGGTTTCAGTTACTCATTGAAATTTTATTAAGAATGGATGAAATGGATATTGCAAAAAATGAAATAATACATGAATGTTTCTCACAATATACAGATGACATCGCAGAACAAACAAAGATTGGAGATTTTCAAAATAACTATAATGAAACGAAAGCTGTATGGTGATATACAAGAGATTATTTTCTTTATCATTTACTAAATAAAGAACTTCGAACGGAAAACTTAGAGAATATATTTAAATTTCGACTTTGGGTGGGTGTGGGTGTGGGTGTGGGGTGTGGGTGTGGATGTGGATGGGTGTGGGTG